ATACGTATATATACACATATTTAATAATCTTAGCTATTTTCTGATAGGGTATGGTATAAATTAGGAAACAGTTTTGTCATGTTCACTAACATCCTTTTCCTTTGTGTGCCTACCCTTTCATAAATAACTAATCCAGCTTACAATCAATTTGTAATCATAGGGTCAGGTTTGTTCCTTGTATTTCACCATTGCAAAAGTATGCTTTGCAATGCAAGATTAATAGTCTGGATAGCCCATATTCTGGCAGGTGAAATTGAAGGCATCTGTAGGAATTAAGGGCTGTGTGACTTGTTTAATACCTAAAGTATCTCTGATATATGATTTTATCTGCATGCAAATATTTAGATACTTAAGATGCTGCCATTCAGGCTTTGGCATGAAGATGCTGGAAATTTTAACTTTGTGTTTTTCTAAAGGCGAAAGAGAAAAAAAAGAAACCCAGAAGATCGAAATTCAGCTGGAAGTTCTGTTAAAACTAATCTACTTTTTTTTCTGAGAATCACTAAATTACACAGGTACATTATTAGATTTATGACACCCATGGCATCTTTGTGGTATGAAAGCCCTGTCAGTTGGTAGCAATGTTAAGAAAACTTGAGCATTTCCTTTCTATCAAATGATTCATCCAAATCCCCTTATTTTGGGACTCTTTTCTGCACAGGCAGTGTTAAATGAGGCAACTGCATAACGTTACTGTGTGCTTCTCTCCTTTTCTTTCCAACAAGTCTCATTCTACAAGTTGAGGCTTTCCTCTGTAGGACAATGATACCATCTGCATCATCTGCTCTGGTAACGTGTAAAGAATTAATATAATTTCCACAGTTTCTGTTTCTTCATCTTGCTATTAATAACTCATCCAATCTTGCTTTTTGTAAAAGCATGTATGTCTTTCAATTATACAGATTATTTTTCATCTCTGACAAGCATCTTACCATGCAGTGTACTCATTTTAGCAGAGTGAGTTTGTGACCTTAAGTTTCAGCTGTGACAAGGAAGTTGAGATGTTTTGTTCTGCTCCCCACCCTCCCAAGGATGCTGCTGACAAACCCTCATTTCCATAGTGCAATGGTTCTCAGTCACCTTGGTGAGTCACGCCAGGGATGCACAGGGTTCCCAGCCGCTCTTTTTTCTTTCAAGGCCTTGTTGCTTGTATCAGTTTACTCTTCCAGCTTTTGTTTAACCTCAGGGGAGCAGGTGTTTCCCTGTCTTCTCTGGCTGTTAGAATTCCAAACTTAAAATTCTACGACAGGATACTGTTGCCAGTGTTGGCAGTTCAACCAGTCTGTGTCATTAGTGTATAAGAACCTGAAAGACTGTATTGGGCAGACTAACCAGTGGCATAAACCACTGAAAGTCCCAGCTGAAAATGTCAAACTAAATAATGACTCTATGGATCATGGGAAGTCCATTTTCCAGCTTTATCTCTCTAGTAGTCTGGCAGTGACTTTCAGCCCAACAGCATGGGTATGAAAAACAGCAAGTGTATGAAAAAGCCTGTCAAAACACAGTGTACTTCATGTTCCCTGTCACCAGAGTGCAGTGGCAAGTTAATGGAGGGAACTGGGTCATCAGATTTTGAAAAGGAGGGGATTTGCTGTGAGAAGTGTGGGAATCTGTGGAGGTGGTTCCCATTGTGAAAGTCCACTTTTGATATGATCTGTAATCTTAATACCTATATAGTCTTGGATCACAGTAACTCCTGCTGTATTGTATTACTTACAGCTGTTCAGCAGGGAAGAATAACTTTCTAAAGGATTTTGTCTCTTAAACATGCAGGTACCTTTCTCTTTTTTTGTCTTAAATCTTTCCTGGTGATTTGGTGTACATTATTTAGTTGTATCCTCATTTGTTGGGTCAAGACAAGCTGTAGTCACTCAGTGAGGAAATTCTAATTTCTGTTTATAAGGCAGGTGTGTATACAGTAGATTAAAAAGATATATCTAGTATATCACTTTTCATTCACCAGATCATGATACTGATCTTGAATCTAGCACCATACAAAACATTTTAAGGGCCAAGCTAACCTTACTTGACATCTCTAAGGTTGTATTTAATGAGGACCTGTGTAATTACTGCCTTTGTTATATAGCTTGAGATGCTGAGATGTTTCAGCTTGTGCCAGTTCCTTTGGATCGAATTTGCATCTGTCTGGCAGTGCTGTTTATGCTTGTCATGGTGGTGGCTGAGACCAGCTGGAAGTGCTAGTGGACAAACCTCATCCCAGCAGCACATGACTGACCCCTTGTTTCTTCCAGTGGAGAGAGGTGATAGAATTGATGCCATTTGCACAGTGTCCAAGGACATCCTGTGTAGAAATATCTCCTGATATGATTAAATAATTGCATAATTATATGCTTTTTCAACTCTGTTCAATGTATACAGCTGCCATGAACCTCCCACTGAGAGAACTGGTGTGTGTTGTATTGCTTCTGCAACACCTTACTTACCGCCAGCAATATTGCCATGGCAATTGACATGATTCAAAACCAGGGCTCAGTTTGCAAATCTTTGCCATTCAGGATTTTGTTTTGCTAATCAATTTCAATTTGTATTCCAGGATTTGTAGGGAACAGTGATGCTTACAAATGCAGTATCATCTTCATTCGCACTTAGGATTAGCAAATAATAAGTAGGAATCAGTCACTATCAAAATGAGTCATTCTTCACCATGACAAAATCAATAAAAATAGGGGCAAAATGTGCTGTTCTTTTATGGGTCATCTAATAGGAGCTTCAGCAGAACAGTGTGTATTGAGTCAGGCCTTTCCTGTTTATAAAAACAGAAAACATGTGATGCAACCCCAAAAAGCAATTTAACTCCACCCCAGTGTCAGACTTATCCCTGGAAGAGTCAGAGACAATTGTGTCATGCCTTAAAATGCCTGCCTTGCAAAGCACACACTGCTTGTTTCTCATGCTTTCACAAACCTTCTAATTTAAGCTGTGACCATAGTGTGCTTGGCTTTGAGCTTCCATTTCAGACTTCATCTTCTTTTGGTGTGCTGAAAACCCTGGAGTGACAAAAATATCATCTGCAGGGAGCACTAAGGCAGCTGATCCTCCTGGAGCTCTTAGTTGTCCATGGGTGCTGTAGATTGAAGACTAGATGGGCTGAATTTCCAAAAATACAGAACCACAGGAACCTGCTGGGCTTTCACCTTGAGACAGATTCTTACCCACATTTCCAGTGAGCAGCTTAGCTCTGAAACACTGTTTTGTATTTCATGGAACCTGGGTTCTAAACAGTGGTTGTGTGCAGAGCCAGCTCATATCCTCATGTGTCTTGGGATGTACAAATTCAAAAAATAGCCATCCTCAAAGACCTTCACACAGACTCAGCTCACAGGTAGTGGAGTTTCTGCACATTTTCTGTGAGAATGAGAGAGCGCCACATTTTCTGTGTCCCATTACCTCATTCTCAGAATACAGAGACAACCCAGCCCCAGGTACATGCAGTGTGATACAAGGAGTGCAGAGACACTCTTGGAGCTCTGCTGGAGTAGGCTCAGCTCTAGCACAACCCTGGAAGGCTCTGGCAGAATCTCAGCATTTCTGCTGTTCTTTACTGTCCATGTAATCCAGGTTTTTCAAGAAGCCACATGATCCTTGCTCCTTATCTCCCTGATAGCTGGAGAGTTACCTGCCTGCCTGATAGATATTTGTCACATTCTATTTCCAAATGGATGTCATTCTTACTTTAAATATTTAATGAGAAAAAAATAATGAAAACACTCCTTCACTGTAACCAGCTGCTTATTGCTATTGCTGAAACTGTTCTCCTGACATTTATATTTGATTTTTTTAATGAGCTCTGCTCCATGATGAAGGTAAGATCATCTTCCTGACTCATCATTCTTGTTGAGACACTCTAGCCAAGCTTCTGCATTTCTCCACTCATCTGCCTTTTTTCCATCACAGTGAACACAACTTTCTTGTTCCATCCATTGTAATTCCCTTTATATCATTGTGCCATCAGCTTGTGCAGTGCGAGTGAGGTAACATATTCACTTGCCTAATTTTTTTCTTCTGTTCTCTGATTACAGCCTTATTCTTAGGGGAAATGTTCTCTCAGAATCCACAGGCCACTCTCTTTTCTTCCCCACAGATCATCCTGTAAGAGTTCCTTCTGCCTTGGTCCCTGCAATGCACAGCCAGGCAACCAAAGACTAGAGAGCTGGCAAGTTGAGATGATTCCTTACTGTTCAAAGCTATCTGTTATCTCAGTCTCTTAATATCACTCTTTTGTTTGTTTGCCTTCTGTACTTTGCCATCCTTCTCTGTGAGCTGGGCAGGAAGGATACTGCTTTTGTTGGATAGCTGGAGAGCCTTACTTGTTTGGAGACTTCAAGCACTAATATTAGATAATTAATATGCAATAAAGAAGAGTCTAGTGTTGCATTATCATTTGTGTTTGGTGTTGAGAAGAAAGAAAGAGCAGAGTTGTCATCAGTTATATATTGTCATCAGCTTTTACCTTCCAAGGCAGAGAAAAATATGGAGAATGCTTTTGTTTTTCTAGCCATATAAGATCCTAATTAAGAATTTTGTACACATATATTGACAGACAATAGAAAAGGAAGAATTTTGTTGTCACCCATTTTTGTTTTCACATCTGGAGAGAACTCAAGGATGCCTAAAATGTTTGTCCCACGTTTCCTACAAGAAGAAGGTATTTTTGTCCTCACTGCAGGGGAGAGAAAAAGACAACAAATTAGTCTTCAGAATAAACTATGTCAAAAGTTATTGTGGGAAAATAAAGCTTTTTTCCATAGCAACTGCTTTGCTGCCCTAACAGCAGCAGTGTTTGTTAGCAGCAGTCACAGCTGGTTTGTACCTCTTGCATTAGCCCACATGAGCAGGATACAAATGGAAAACCCTCATCAGAACTTAATGTCACATAGCTTAATGACACACTTCTAGCCTGTTCTTTTGTGTGTTTTATGTCATACTAACTTTCACAGTTCAATGAGATTTAATATTCCCTGTGCTTCTTTCTGCAGGCACCCTAGACAAACATGTAGAACTAGAGAAACTCGTGGCCAAGTTCCTTGGTGTGGAAGATGCTATGGTGTTTGGCATGGGCTTTGCAACTAACTCAATGAATATTCCAGCCCTTGTTGGAAAGGTGAGTACTCCCTTCGGGAACACAGAGAACATTTATTAATTGTTTTAACTACTGTTGCAGTACTCTGGGCTTTCAGTGAGGGGAAAGGCTCCATCGAGGAACAGAGCTTGGTATCAGGAATGTGTGACTCATAAAGCTGATGACCTTGTGACTTTAAATGTGCTTCTTTATCACCTGTGCTGGCACTGAGTGTTGCTATCACACATACCTAACATCTGCTTAAGGATCAGTGATGCAGCTCTCTAGCTCCTCTTGATGAAGTTGCTTCTCCTTAAAAAGTAACCAGAGGTTAAATCCCATGTCCAGGTCTTGTGGGATGAAGTATTTAGGCTACTTGCTGAGATATTTCCCAGCTTCCTGTGATGAAAGATGATGATTAGGATAGTTTTTACAACACTTTGATAAAAGGAAAAGCACAGTGCTTAGCATTCCTGGGGAACAGAGCTCCAGCCAGCCCTGCCAAGAAAGCTGGCAGCAAAATCAAGTCTAAAGCTGTGATCATGTTACAAAAGTCAGGTTCTTGGTGCTGAAGGAACCTCCTCTCCAGTTTGGAGTACTTAACTCAAAGGCATGGATTTCCATCATCCTGTCACTGGGTAGCTGTGTACATCACACACACTGTGCTGATACTGATAGCTGGAAAATGGGTAACTCCTCCTTGGCTTGTCCAGGTGTGGAGCACCTTGAAGTGTGCCATGCAAGCACAAAGCATGACCTCCTTCTTGGTGGAAGTAGAATGAATTCATTTTGTGGTGTATGACCAGGACTTCTGAAACACCAGCGTAGAGCTGAAGTCGCTTCACTCTCTGTTGAAGATGACTGCAGCTTTTGCAAGATCTCTAAAATACATGTATACAAGTGTTGGGCAGGGAGAGTTGCTTCAGTCATCCAGAACATGAGCTTCAGTCTTCAGCAATGCTGGAGAACTTGTCCAGCAGTTTCAAGGGGAACAGATACAGAGAATTAATGAAGGTAAATTTATGAAATTGGAGATATGCAGTGTGAGATATGCAACGTGTCTTAGCTGTATAATAATTTTCCCTCCCTTACCTGGCTTCGTGTTGAGATTCAAGCCTCTGTCAGAGGTGGGATAGATATAAGTGGCACAAATAAAGATATTAATGTATGTATTTTTAATAAATAATGTGTAATTATATATATATATATTTGAAAATTCTGTACATATTCTTATATATGTTACAAATATTATTCAACTACCCTATGTTTGAGAGATTTACTCCTATGTTTTCTACTATAATTAAGTCTAGCAGCTACATTTTCTTGTCAAGCTGCATCTACACTTGTTGTTAGTTCTGCAAACCAGTCTTTGTGGAGATTGTGTGAGTATCTCTCAACCTAGGCCTAATCCATGATTCCAGAATAAGTTTTTGCTTAATTATGTGTTGCCCTTTGGGTAATGAAACACAGCAAAACATGTTGAATAGAAAGCAGAGCTAAACAAGGGCTCAAGCTTGAATTTCAACTGTGAGTCCTGCCCTTTGTTAATATAATAGACAAGTTTACTTCTCCCACATTTCTATTTTCATTTCTAAAAACAAAAGGAGTTTTCAACTGAGTTAATTAATAAAAAGTATACTACAGGTCAACTCTATATGCATTTACCGGAGAAAGACTCTGGTTCCTATACTTCACTCACATCCTAATGGAGGTGGGACTGACAAGGTATCAGTCTCTCCTCATCTCATTTCTGCAGTCCAAAGGGCTGATGCCAGGCCAGCCTCACTATTACTGCTCCTTAGCCTACTGCCATGCAGCCTTTATATGTGGCTGCATTGTCCTTACAACTAAAATCTGATCCCACTATTTCAGCCTGTCTTTGCAGTGCACCCCTGTAGGAATGTGCCCCTTGTTGACGGAGTGACAAAACTATTTTTTGTCTCTTAAAAAAGAAAAAAAGCTTAGAAGTTTCTCTCCTCAATTAGGTAAAAAGACATCTCATAAGACCTTGGGGACTTCACCTCAAACTTAAGGATAGCCAACTGGACATGAGCCAAAAAGTCCTGCCCAAGCAATTTACTAGGAAAAGAAGAGAACAAAGGAACTAATGGCTTTTGTGAGGTGTTCTACCAGGAGCAAGAACCTCTTGCCCTGGCTAGGGTTTTGTTTTTTTTTTTGTTATTTTGCCTTTTATTAAAACTTTTCTGTTTCCAACACTACCACAGAAACCATCCTGCTGATTTAATGCCATCTGAGGCGGCTGAGCTATCTGGGGTGTGATATAAATCTCCAAGAGCTTACAAGACCTAACTCAAAGAAACTCTATATCATATTCCAGCACCTTCAGAAAATTGGCAAAAATTTCATTTAATGTTTAATCCTTACAGCTGAACTGGTGCAATGGTCTATCACAGACACCTGTGTATGCTGGCACACACATGCACATGAGTCTGCAGCCTCCCAGTTGATGCAGGTGCTCACTGTACTCCTTCTCCACAGGGCTGCCTCATTCTCAGTGATGAGTTGAACCACACTTCTCTCGTTCTCGGTGCGAGGCTTTCAGGTGCCACTATCAGAATCTTCAAGCATAATAGTAAGTATTGAATTGGAAAACTGTACAGACAGAGTTATTCACACCTCAAAGGCAAGAATGATTTCTTTTAATGCTTACTTTGCTGTCAGTTGCCAGATGATGCTTTTGTCCAGGCAGGAGGATCAACTGCTTAATATTATGAGTGGTTTCTGATGGGAAAAATTATAAGTGCAGTACTATAATTGCTATTGTGTCTTTTTGACTTGCTGAATGACTGTGTGCTGCCACAAAAGTTTTATTGTTTTTGTCATTGTAGCCCAAACAGTAGAAACATACTTACAGACATGCCTGTTTCCAGCAGGTTCAGTGAAACCAGTGTTACCTTACCATGGCATTCCTTTGAAGCAGTACTCTGAATTCCCAGAGATCTAATAGCAAAGATGCAGATGGTTATATCAACAGCATCATCCCAAATATTCTTTGAAATAGTATTTTAGTATAGAAATCACACATCAACTTTGCAGTTGTATAGTTATCTTCTAAAATGCTCATGCTCTCTAACTTGTATTTAGTTAGTGCTGCTGTGGTTACTGTCAGAGACATTGGGACTGCCTTTGTGACAAGAGCTTCTTCTTTTCCCTTATTCCTCATTAGAGTTCCCTTTTCTATCCTCACTGCTGCCAGCAGGCAAGAAAGGTTTAGAAGCTACTGTAGTGGTGAGAAATCAGAGGAGTGGTCTGATTACCCTTCTTAATGGCTAATACAAACCCTTGTCTTTACTAAGTGTTGCTTAAGGGAAGCAAAAATGAATTATGCATATGTTGTAAAAGGCCTAAGGAGGAGTTGGAATGAGAAGAACACCATAATTATACTATAAGATGTTGTTATACTTAATATCAGTTCATAATTTGGGCAAGAAGCAATTTCTGAAGATCATTCAAGGATTAAAGACCATCTGAACATGAATATTTTTACAGAATTAACTATTCATATAACAACTGTAGTATACCCCAACTTGGTCCACTTCCACAAATGTGGATATGCTAAGCATGGTTGCCACACCAGTCTTTTCTCAACTTTTGCTTGGTTGTTCAAAGCTTTATCCCATTCAATCAGGTTACATCACATCCTGAATGTTGACCTCTTACTACCCAAATCCAAACACTCTCAGCCTCTCCACCTACCTGTGCTGTGTGCAGTCCAGCTGGCTTGTGTCACTTCCCACATAATTTCAGAAAACATTTCAGGTTGAGGAGTATGTTACTCTCAGCTGTGAAGATATCACCTGGAGCTGTCATGCTCACTTTAAGGAATCCAGTCTAACCATTCCTCAATATCTCATTCCCCTCCCCAGAACCTAATGCCTAACCAGCTTGTTGCACTGACAGTAAATTAAAGCTGATGCTCTTCTGAATAATGGGTGAGCCTAAAAATAATAGTGAGCTACCCAAACAGCACTAGTCTAGCACTGGAAAATGCAGACAGTTGCTTTAAGAATCTTGGCAAACCTCAGTAGAAGCCCATCCAAGTTGCTTTGGAAAAACTCATTGGTTTCAAGATTAAAGTTCTTATTTGCCAAAGATTAAAGCCCTATATGCCATTGCTGGGACATCACCTTAGCTTGCTTCCAAAATGAAACTTTGGGAACTTTTGTAAGTGATGGGGTCTTTGGTGTCAAGATGACTTTGAGGTGTTAGAAAGTCTCTCTTTCTCAGCTTTGAGACTGAAGAAGAAGGCAGAATTTTTTGGCTTTTGTTTTCAAGGTTGTTTATTGGCCTTTATTTAATACATTGTCTTTCTCTGACTTGCTGAGATCTGTCTAGCATGTCGGTTTATGGCATACTGACCACCTTGGGGCAGTGTTATCTTTTATACTAAAAATTATGTGTACATTATTTACAATAATTTTCTAATACTTATCACTTATGTTAGACAGTTTGTCTTTACTCTAAATTAATTTAAAAGTGTTACTATCACAGCAGAAGATGGAGGCTAAGAAGAAGGAGAAAGACTGGATTAGATTCTTTTATTTTGTTTCTTGAACCCCCATTCTAAAAACTTTAAAATTCTATATTTTCACTTGGTGATAAATTCACTATCATTCTACTCAAACTCTTGTGGCTTGCAGCTCTTCACACAAAGTTGGTAATTGTTTCTAAGGATTAAAATCAAAGGCACAGGTGTCTTTGACTCCGTGCCAAGGTCTCTGAGCCTCCATCAGGGTCTCAAGTCTTCTAGGGCAGTCAGATTAATTTCTTGGGTTCTGACATGCAAGTACTGTTTGGAATTGAGTGACAGCTTTTGTTGTCACAATTTTGTAATCCTGACTCTAAACTTCATTTAGAGAGAGCTTCACAAGCCCATGCTTTCTCTCAGCCCACTCTGAGCCTCTCAGCTAGTTATTTCTGTGGTTAGAAAGTTGTGTCTTTTAGTATTTCCTTAATCATACCATGAGTTACACATCACTAGCAACTAAAATCACACATGCAGAAATGCACGTGAATGCCTTTTGCTTTGGGGGAAATAGGATGTGTTTTGGGGGAGATAGCAGTGGAAAGCATAACCCAGCAGGGCTGATGCTTTTGTAGGATGCATGCTTTCACCCAAAATGGAGCAGACAGCCTTGTGCCCTCTGAGTCTGTCAGGGAGTAGTGTAACACAAGTCAGTACAGCACAAAAATTAAGGACCAAAACTGTATTAATTAAGTGACCAAAAATTCCAGCTCGGGTTGGGAAGGTTCTTTTCATTCAGACAGATTTTGTTTTGTTAGACCAGAGCTGTGTTGCTTGTGCTGCCAGAGTCATTCTTGCTATATGTGGGTATGTGACATATACAGGCATGTCCAAATTGTCAGACTGTGCTTGTGCTGTTGTTGTCATGCTTAGGAAGAGGAGAATTGAGCCATGCTCCATGTCACAGTGCTTGCTGTGAATGCAAGGTTCCTTCTGCTGTATTGGCCCTGTGCAGGAATAGAAAACTTTGCACTTTGAGCTACTGCTTTAAGATCTTTAGTAAGCATTGATTTCACCATCAGGTTCTAACAAGTGCATAAATCTCTCCCCCCTTTACTTTTCATGCTTTGTTATGGAAAAACTCTCTGTCTAAAGAAAAATGATACACAACTTTGTTCTATGATAAAAATATTTCACAGAAAAGAGAGTAAAATCTACCACTTTAAACTTGCTATGAAATACCTTCATCTTTCAAAGACTGTACTGTAGCTAATTCTGTAAAACTATTACTTTATTTCATGAAATCTGTAATAGAGGATTGTTTTGTCATCTTTCAAAAGTAAATAATTATTATTTTATTATTAATAGAGGATTGTTTCATTTGTAAGATGAGAAAGAATCTCTGCCTATTACCTTAATTATGTATAATGTAGTTCTTATTCTTATAGAAGTTAATGAAGTTCTATTTCAGTAAGTGGGTAGCTCTCTTAGACATTACACTTTCCATAAAATTCTGTATAGCTTTTCAAGAACAGACAAAATCCCTAGACATCTATGCTTTTCCTAGGTGAAATAAAAGGCATCTGGATATCTTTCATTTTGACAAAAACATTGCATGGGTGTATGAGAAAGTTTTCAAGCCTTAAAGTGAATAATAGAAAAATAATGTGCTGTGGACCTGTAAGTCTGTTTTTATTTGGACATAGGAATGTGCCCTGCATCCTGACTTCCAGTGAACAATCCCTTCCTTGTAAACAGACAGGAATTTACAGGTCTGGGCTGAGAGAAATGCACAGGCACACACACCTACAGGTCATCTATGTGAGAGAAATGTAACAGAATATTCCATCTTGGCCAAAATCTACTGGACAGGGACTTCCCTTCCTGTGGGCTCTCATTAGCTCTGTCTCCAGTCCTTACCCTGCTAAGGGCATATCAATATTGGCACATGGGTTTTGGCCTCTAAGGGAGTTTTTCTGTGTCAGGCATTTGTGAGGTTTTGTGGGTGCAAGCAGCAAAGTTCAGCTCCCTGGAGCCCCTGCTCTGAATCACAGGTCTAGGGGATTTAATTTTTTTTTCAATTTTATTTTAGGGTCTAAGCAGTCCTAAATGTATGCAGTAGTGTTTTAGTGGACTAAAGTCATTCTGACCTGCCCACAAAGCACCTGCCTTTGTCTCTCCTGCTGTGGGGTGGACACCACTCAGGTTGCCATTTCCTAGGCAGTGATTTTTTTGGGAAGATAGGACAGAGCTGCAGTGCTGCACTGGAATTCAGGCAGCAGCAGTGTGCAGTGGGAGAAGGTGGGATGCTCAATCACCTCTCCACCATTGAGGCAGTAGTGGCCTGGGCTTGGTCAGTGTTTTTGCTAGAAGGTTTCTGATGTTACCCTCACCAGCTTTGGTCTCCAGGGAGTCTCTCCCACCTTCCCCAAGTGACAGGCTTGGGTGGTCCCTCAGTTAAACGGGGGCTAAACTCAGATGCTGTTACTTTCTGGCTCAGGGAGAGATTGACTGGTTTTGGACTTTTTTTCTTTTTAATTTTTAAGGCACTCTTTTACTAACATCACATATTTAAAAGCCCTTTTTCAGGACCTCTGACCTTTATCTGCTTAAGTATTAGCCAAAATCCTTGACCATTCCAATAAAACCTGAAAAGCAAAACCAAATATTTAACCATTAATCAGGCTGTGATTTTATCAAGGTGTTTCTCTCACAGCAGTTCTGGGTCTTATACTGGTATCAGGTGTTCCTTCAGTGAACAGATGAGGGTGTTACGGACTGGTTATATCCAAGTGACTTCTGTTCTGACCAGCCTGTAAAAGAAGGCACCATACAAGGCTTAGGATTTGTTTATTCTTTCTAATTCTACTACATTTTTCCCATTAAGCAACTCAATTGCAGTCTCATTTTCAGGTTTAGATTTGCAATTGCCTGAAAAGTCAGTGGGAATGTTGGGACAAGGCTCAGAACTCAGGCCATGAGGGAAAAAATATTTGCAGTTCTCTTCAAGGGATTGCAATGCATTGATTGCATTCAGTGAGCAGTCAGAACAAGTGATCCTATGAGGAAGGCAGGAAATTACAAAGCATAACCAAGCACATTAGTTAGGTGAAAATCCAGCCTTAATCTGGTGCTTGAATCTGCATCTGAAATGGCAATCAGGGCAATGCATTCCTAGCTCCTCCTTATGCACATTTTCAATGTTGTGAAAGTAGTAAGAGATTTTTTAGTTTCTCACAGATCAAGTAGTTGACAACAAGTATGTGATGCAGGTGTGAGCTGTCCAGGTTTTCATACAAAACACTGTTTCCAGCTTGGACAGCAATTGTGAATTAATGTTCATCCAAACTCTGACATTTCTCAGTCTACTCAGTCAAATTACTGCTTTGCAGTTCAGATACAAGTGCCCTGAGGACACCTTGAGAATGCACAGCTACCTGGAGGAGCTGTACTTAAAAATGAATGAAATTCTAGGTGGCAGAAGGCCTTCACCTTTTAGAGCAAATATATTCTCTAGCTAAAAAGAAGGAAATTAAAGGAAAATTAAAAAAAAAAAAAAAAAGTGGAAACTAAGTACAACTAATTCAGTAAGCGAATAAAATGGGGGGAAATTAAAGAGATAAGTAAGCAGATAAAAATTAGAAAGAGATCCCTTTGGTTGCAAAACTCCAAGAGTTTGTGGTGGCTTAGTACAAGATGGTTCCTTAATTTTTAATTTTTTTTCCAACTGTGTAGGTAGCCCTTGAATTTCAGAAGAGAGGGCAGTGTTACAGCAGTTACAGAGTAGGATGAAAGGCACATTTCCCACTAAGGTTTTGTGCTCCATGAAGCCTCTGGCCACTATCAGAGACAAGATTGCTGCCCAGATAGGTGGACTGCAGCCTAATCCAGTTGGGTGTAATTCCCTGTGACACACACAGACGCTGCCAGGGCAAGGAGACTGGTCTGTCCTGCTCCCTGCATGCTGCAGCTGCCTTCCCCCTCTCTGCCTTGAGAAAGCCACATCTGACTTGCCAAGTGTGCACAGGGAGCTTTCTTGAGCCATTGCCCTTTACTTTCAGAGAGATTGGTATTTATTGAGGGGCAGGGAGGGGAGTCTCAGACTGTTGCTGTGGCTGCAGTGATCACCACTCCCACGTTCCAAACAAAGATACTTGTGTGGAGCCACGGGGTCTGTGCCACCTTGCATGAGAGTACAGAAGGGAGAAACTGAAAATCAGAGTTACAAGCACAAAGCAAAAAGAAGAATGTGATAAGAATAACAGCAGCCTGTTTATTTTAATTAAGCTGACATCACACAGGTTTCCAGCCCACACAGGGGAATGGTGATGACATCCCCAGCATTGCAGTGTAAGGATGAGGGGTGGAGACATCATGTCTCCCTGAGCATGCTGTGCTCCCTCCAGAAGCCTGCTGTCCCACCTGCACTGCAGGCAGCATGACACTCTGCCTGCCCAGGTTCAGACTTGCTCCAGCCCACTGGCAGTTTGTGTTCCTGGTATTGCTCTTGAATTAACTATGAGAGATCTCAAACAAGGATGATGCAAGTCCACCAACCCACTGATAGATGCACTGTCCCCTCTTAGGAAACTTTATCTTCCATATCTGGGGAAAATGCTGTAAGGAGAAGGTGGAAAGCGAAACATGGATAGATTTGGTTGTACTGTGACTGATTAATCAAGTCAAATTCTTAACTCCACCTCTTGGGCTGGTGAGCAGCTGTTGGCCATTGCTGCTGCAAACCCTGGGCTGGTGATGGTCAAACAAGGAAGGACTGTTATTTTCTCCTTAACTGGTTATTCAGGATGAACTCGTGCAGCTCATCATCTTAATATCCTAATGTCTCTCAATCTAACTATATTTAATGAGTAAATAATTTGATATCTGAAAGTCATCTGTGGTTGTGCTGTTGTTTTTCCTGGCATTCAGTAGATCCCACTTTCTCAAAAGCTTAAGCACAAGCACACAGAGCATTGATTTCACCTTGAAGAACAGAAGCAGCCTTTTGTGGGGAATACTAAAGATTCTTTTCTTTCTGCCTATTTCCCCTTTCCAAATGAGGCAATTAATAGATCAGTAAAATTCATTTGCACATGAATAAATTATGTGTTGACTATTACAGGCTTCAAAAAGGGTCACACAATCATGTTTTTCAAAATGAGATGTCAGAAAGAAAGAGAGATAGCCCTGATCCTGCAGACAGATGTGTTCTTAGCCTGTACTCCAGCAGGACTATATTATGTGTAAAATCAGGGAACTTCATCTGTTGGAGAGATTCTCCCAGTCTGAAGTCTCATGTTCCATGGTAGTTTGGACAGAGGACCTATTCACAGCCATGTATTTTTAAAAACAGAATTATATACATTTCACTTCATTTCCTCTCTCCTTTTTTTTTTCTTTTCCTGTGCATGTGCTAAAACAACTAAATCTTCAAGCCATGCTTTTAGTTCAGAGGCAGAATGTCGGGTTATCTCGGCTGTTTGAGGGGCCTGGAAAGGCCCGAGGTGGCCTTGGGGCAGCCCGTGTATCGAAGGACGAGAAGAGGCTTCAGTTCTTCTTTCGGTTTTTATGTTTATTAATTGTTTATCTAAAAGATGTTCTTTCAGCCGAACAGAGATCTGCTCAGCAGTCAGCCATGAGCACACTGTCCCGTCCTCCGGGGCAGCCACCTATCTTTATACCCATTGTTACATGTACAATATTTATCATTTTTCCCCAATACCATTTATTCTTATTACTCGGTGCACTCTCAGTAATAACCAATCCAAAGGTGCCACCATGGCCAAAGAAGATGGAGGAGAAGAAGAAGAAGAAGAAGGACAGGACACACCCCAATTCCTCCATCTTACTCCTCTAAACCCCCCTGTACATAAATCCTAAACCCTGTGTCTCACCCTCTAATTAACTAATCCCTTCACCATTCATCCTGGTGAAGTCCTCCTATCCTCATACAGGTCGTCTCCTGTGTAGGGTCAAAGTGCAGCCACCAGACACTTCTGGCAACATTCCAGGACTCCCGAGCCCCCCAAGGTGGTCTCGTGGCTCTGCACCTCAGGACTGAGATCCTGAGATCCGACAGCAGAATGGCTTTTCTGAAGTCAAGAGCAGTTCTGGACTGACATATAGAACACAGAATTGAAAAACCCTGTGTGATTGAGAAAAGGGATTCAAAGGTCCCAAAAGGATTTAGAAGACACTGACATCAGTAGAGAATAATTTGGTGGAGAAAAGGGAGTGTCCACATTTTACTGTGAGCTCTCTGTCATCCTGAGGGAGCCCTTTAAGAGGGTTTCTAAATATTGTCTACTTGAAACAAAAGACAAGTGAGCAGCTGCAAATTCTCAGCTTGGTTTTAACTTTCCCATATAAAGCACCGAAGAACTTTCATTTCCTTGATTGCCATCTAGTGGAAAGTGTGCTGTCTGCATTGCATTATTCCTAGCAGCATTCTCCATCTCAGAGCTCACTGAGGTGCGCAGGCCACTGCACCACTGAAACAAGGGGCAGCTGATATTGTCCATGCCTATTTTGTGCTTAGTAGAGTACAGCAGGAACTTGCTAGGTCAGGTGCAGAGTGGCAGCTTGGTTACTGAGAACTTCACCTTCCACCAGCATCACTGAATGTTCCTAGGAAGAGGTGAAGCATCAGGATCTGGAGGGGTTTAGGTCATAACCTGGCCTTCTCTCAGGGCACAGGTTACTCACAATGGCCAATTAATGCGCAGATGGCTCCATTCCCCTGGGGCAGAAACCAAACTATGGGCCAATATTAATATTTCCAAGGTGTATTTTATGGTTTTTTCCTCAGAACAATTAATTTTACTCAATAACTTTATTTAACTCAATTACAATTAACAATTGTAACTCAATTACAAATAACAATTAATTTAACTCAATAACTTTGTGCTATTGTAGAAGGTTGTATCAACTGTGTTGTGTTGCTGAAGCAAATGGGGTTATATTGTGGAAAAATGCCATTGATTTTCTCCGCCCATGGTTTGAGCTGATCTGTAGTGTTATTTGGGTGATGTGAGACTCTACAGGATGTTCTTGGGAAACATTCTGAAATGCCAATCCAGATTCCTGAAAAGCACCCAAATAATTCATTTTGAAGAGTGTCCATTCTTTGGAGACACCAGAATGCTGGTGCATTTAGAGTCACATTTGGCCTGACCCTGATTTCTGTGGTATACTTTCTTGTTTCTTCCATCTTCTTCAAAATTTCAAAGGCTTTCCTTGAAGATATTTTTGATGACCTCCACTCAACCCTTAAGGAAGCAGCTGAGGACCATAACCTTGTTCTAGGCCTCCTTTTATTGAAGTCCTGCCAGTGCCAAGCATTTGGGCACCAGATCAGTGTGTCCATGCCATGTGCTTGTATCCACCTGCCTCTTCCTCTCTCATCAGCAACCTTCCACTTGCTTTCCTTCTTGAGGAGGACAAGACTTCTCTTGCTGCCATCCTTATGTGCTTCATGCAGCCTTGTCAAAGCCTTTGCTGAAGCAGTGCTTGTTGTTTGTGAGCTTGTGGTTGGAAAGCAACCAAAACTCACAACTGAAGCCTTGATAAATGATGAGTATCAGCAGCCCCTACACAGAACTGCTGGCAGTTAGCCTCAGTACTGAAGCAAAGTGATTCCCTTTTGCCTTTAAATACAAATGTATGCTGAGTATTTCTAGAAGTTTCCCAGATCAGGTAAATAATAGAAGCTTTTTGTAACTCTTCTTGTCACTAAATTGCATTCACACTAATGAAAGGAATTGTTAGGTCTTGCCTAATAATAAAAGAAGTTTATCTTTAGGACACTTTTTTTTTAATGTTGTCTTTTTCTGACTAGGAAAAGTAGCACCCAATTGAAAGCTCTTGACAAAAGACTGTTAATGTTTTTTCTTCCTCCTTTTCCTTATTTTTAAATAAAGATATGCAGAGCCTCGAGAAGCTGCTGAGAGATGCAATAATATATGGACAGCCTCGCACCCACAGAGCATGGAGAAAAATTATCATCCTGGTGGAGGGCATTTACAGGTATGTCTGTGTGGTAAAAAGATGAGTATTCTATCATTTCTGAGGACAGAATGATGAATTGAGTGGGGCAAACTCTGACTCTAAGTATCTGAGGGAAATCTTAATGAGGGTGGAAGTTGCACTAACTTTCTGTGATCTCATGAATATGTTGATTTCCATTATGACAGCCTGAACCTTGTGTCCTGTAACTCCAGTTAGATCCTGTACATTGTTCTGAGTGTTGATTTAGCAAATCACAGTTGAGTGGGAGATGTACTGAGAGCAAGACAGGTAAGGTGATGTATGTTGTGACAGATGTGATAAAGTTTGTGGAACTATAGTTGGTGAAGGGTTCTGCTGAGTAGGAGTTGTTTGTTACACGTGGGCAGATCAAAAGACATCTACACAGAATTGATTAAGCTCTGCATGCCCACTTCTTGCCCAGCTGCTGAAATCTTAAGCTAAACTTAGGTTAAGTGATATCAGCACCTTTTTAGTAACTAGTGCTTCATCTAATAGACTCACACTTTAACAGGAAAATTGAAAGACTGGCTTTCAAAGAATTATGTAGTGGTATTTAACATAACCCTAGTCCCTGGAGGAGTTCAAATGAGAGAAGTGCCTTTGAGAATGCATCTGATAATAGCAGCTTCAATAATACAATGTAATTATGGAGCACCTAAGTCAGATAGCTACACAGTGTGGTGCAGCTTACACCCAACCAGAAGAGCAAACAGTCACTGGAGTTGAGCTGCGAAGCAGTGACACCAGCCAGGCTCATCATCCTGGGCTTCATCCTGGTCACTGCTCCAGTCTGGAAAAGTCAACCAGGGAGTTCATGGAGGGGTAGCCACTCATGGGCAGGAGTTGGAGAAGGGAAGGGCTGAAGAAGCAGGGATGTGAACAGAAAGAGGGTTTGCAGGGATGTAGTCAAGGCTACTGCAGTGATGACAGGAGATGGGGGAGCAGGACAAGGGTGGTTTGGGGAATAGCAATACCTGCCCCAGAGAGAAGGAAACCAGAACCACTCATTCACAGGCCATGACAGGGTTCATGAAAGTGACATTAAAACTCTATATGTGGGGATTGTATCATGTGTTGCTGAAACACAGCCAGTCTCAATGGGCAGTCACTTATGCCATTTTACTGCAAAATGCTGGCACAGCTTAGCCAATTAGCTTTTTTCTTTTGGTAAGAAATCTTTAGGATCTCATGTCATCACTACTTCTTGGCTGTCAGTGCTTTCTTTTTGCCTAACATTTTCCATCTGCAACGAGACCAAATCGGTCCTTATCTAAACACCTGTCACTCAGAGGTGAAACAGGATCAGCAGATCAGCTGATCCAAAGCAGCCTGAACATGTCCTTTCAACCAGAATAAACAAAGCAAAACTACAAATAAACATTGCTTGGCACTACTAAAAGAAAGCTTGGATTTAAGGGCTTTGATCACACAGAAATTAAGTGGACCACCAACATTTTACTGACAAATGTTCCCAAGGGTCACATGGCTGCAGAAAAGGCTCCAGCTGCTGAGCTTTGTTCATTTTTAAATCCTTTGTCCTGAGTATTGATCACTAGGGAAGAAGGTAGACTGGTAACAAAGAGGTGTGGATCAGCCCAAGAAATTAAACAAACCCACTGTCAGCTATTTAACTATACTAACTTATAACTGTATTTCCAGATTTATGTTTGGTGTCAAGTGGTTTTTTTTCCGTATTTTTACAGTTCATTCTCAAATTAGCTTTTATTTGCCAGAATTCAAAAACTTTCAGTTGGAATGAAAAAAAAAAAAAAGCACCTTAAACCTGAGAATACCTACTTAAAGGAACCATAAAGTTCCTTCAGCTCCATAAAGGCTAAGTAATGTTAAGACCACTCATGCCCTGAGTGTCTATGCTTCTGAAAGGCATAAGGTTCTGAAAGAACAAAGCTCAGGTCTCTAATAATCTCTTATTGGAAACTGTCCCTAGCACTAGCTAGGTTGGTTGGTTAGTTAGTTAGTTAGTTGTTTTCACAATCTAAGCAGATCAGAAATTGGAGAGTGTGGTTTGTAAAGCAAATCTGCTGTGGCTTGAGGGTGAATTCCACAATGTGCCACCGTGCCGTGTCCCTGCCACCCCTTCCAGCCTTCAGGACATGTGACACTGCCAGGAGCAGGCTCACAGCACAGGCACCCTGAGCCTGTTGGTAGCTAAGAACATTTCATATGCAAAAATTAAAAATTAAAAAAAGAAAAAGAAAGCTGGAGAAGGACGGAGTAGAAATGATCTTACTCTTTTCGTATGTTCTTTCCTTTCTTGGCCCAGGTTTTTGAAAGACTAAAATTTTCCAGCCCCATATTGGCTAATGATAGTTTTCTTGAAGGTTTGCCAAATGTCAAATTAACATTCATCAAGAGGGTGTAAGAGGAGTTAGAGTGCAGTTAATGTATTCTTCTTACAATAGTTACTACTGCTTTTTATTTTTTTTTCCTTAAGTTATGCTTCAGGGACAGCAAATATAGAATTTAAATAACTTGGTCAGAGCCATTCTCCAAGTTAAAATATCTTGATTTGCAAGTTTGGCCTGGCAAATTTTTACAGAAATTCTTTTTCCAGAGAAGTAAAAGAAAACACTAAGCTTTCCCGCTTTAAAAAAATACTGTTATATGGGACACCATAGTCTTAGTATGATGAAGTTTATGGTATGGAAAGAAATTTGCCTTCTGTTTCCATTAGGAGTATCTTAAAGTGTTTACACTTACCAGCTGGCAAAATTTGAAAAGGGTCATTGTTAGCCAACATGAGCATTTCTGGAAATCAGACTTGTGTTTGGAACCATAAACCATAGATTTTGCTTGGTTAAGGCAACTTAAGGCAAAATTGGCCCCTTGACTTGGGAAGCACTCAAGCTACATGTCAAATAAATAGCATTAGGTATGTTTTTGTTTGCTTTTTAATGTCTCTATTATCTTAAAAAGAAAAAAAATTGTCAAAAGTAAATGTAACTCCTAGTGAAAGCTGGTTTTTAACTTGGACCAGCCTAGGAGCAAATATATTCAGTTTGTGTTCCAAACTGAGGGAGACCATCTAGCCATCAATCTTGACTCCAAAAAGCATGAAGAAGTTTTGGCAGTAACCAGGGCACAAGTTAAACTGACTTGCTAAATAATATTTTTATTATTTGAATTCCAGCTAATGTTTTCCTTGGCTTCTACCATTTCCAGTTCAGGATTAATCAGTTACTGTGTTCTTACATGGTTTGTGGTAGACTTCTGCTCTCTTCCATGCATTTTTACTTAGGAGTCAGATAGGCCAAGGCTCAGGGCAGAAGTTATGGAGAATCAGAAATTGATCAAAACATATTGGTTTTCATTTGTTTGTTCCTTACTTTTAATTTAATTTGTGTATTTTCCCTTCCAGCTAAGAAAATACCTCTGATCAGTTAGATATTGTCCAATGCCTTTTCATGTGCATTAGAAGTTCCTTGGGATTCAATGCCAATAGTGTAGGAAATTTAGCAGGTTATTTTTTTTTTGTTTTTTATTTCCTGGGATTAAGTGACTGGACTTCCAGAAAAAAATGAGGTAACATTTAATGTCTTTGGCGAAAAACCAGCATTAAAGGTTAAAATTTCTATAATTTCACTGTTGAAATGGAGTTCTATTTGAGGGCAGAGTTGAACTATTTCCTTAAAATTATTACTGTAAACTACAAAACAGGGATTGTTGTATGAATGTACGAAGTTTATGTAAGAAAACAGTACCTAAAGTAACTGTTAAAGTGTAACGTTTCTGTCTTGTGAGTAGCAGGCCAGGAAAGGAGGGATTTTTCCCAATTACAAACTAGCCTGAAAGGGGAACAGATAAACTCTTCAAATGTTGAAAAGATAGTGGTAGTCTAGGGCATGTTTAGAGATTAATTAGATAAGAGGTGGAATACCCCTTTTCCCAAGAAGTTTCACTATATAACTGGCCAAAAAAACCCATCAATATCGTGTCAAGGGCGAGCCTGTATTCCAACTGAAGTGACCAATCCAAGCATGCACTTTCCATCTCTCAAAGTAGCTGGATCCACAATTCAACAGCTGCATCAGGAAGAACATCAGTGCTTTGGTGGGGATTGAATCAAGTTCCAAACTCGAGTTTTCTAAAAATTTGGGATTATCTCCTCACTTCTGGAAGTACATTCAAAATGAGTGTGTACTGACCCAAGTTTTTGTGCGTGTCCACCACACAAGGGAGATGAGGGTCAGCTGCAGTCTGGAAGCTTTCCATCCCTGCCACCAAGCTAGGAGTTTGTGCTACAAGACAAGATGTCATACCATGTAATGAGAACACCTGGCCTGGGCAGAGCCAGCTTTAGTTCATCTGCATCTGGAGTTTTTTATGTGCCCTGTGTGCTTGAGCAGATCTGGAAACAGATCAATACATTTGTACACAAAGCTAAGAGGCTCAGTCAGAGTGAGGCAGAACCAGTACAGTTCACTTCTGGCTCTTTGGTTTAAGCTCACTTGATATAAACATTTACTGGAGGATTCAGTAGACTTTGCATCTGGGCTACTCAAGGGCTTATGTGAAGCTTTATCTTAAAGCAATTTCAGAGGGAGTGGTGTGCATATCACTAACCATCTCCCAGGGTCAAGAGAGAGACCAAGACCAGAGCTGGCAGCAAAACACTTCTCATCTCTGTCATCAGGATGGCTGAGACCTGTTGCAGTGGCAGCACAGAGCATACACATGACTCCAGCAGCACTTTATCTGTTCCATGGATGCTTCAAGGCCACATTAAGACCTCTGTTAACTATTGTATTTATGTCAGCCAGCATTTTTCAAGAGCAGTAGATCAAAACTGAAATGGAATACAAGTGCCTTGTTTTGCTAAGCAGCTTAGAGTTCCAAGAGAAATCTCCTAGTCATATGAGAAATAAAGGATTTCATTAAATCTTCTAGATGGTTAAATCTTGCATCAGCCATGTACCAGCTTCATGTATTCTGGGATTCAGCACAACTTTCCTTCCATTACACTAATACCCAGCATTTTTAATTTACCCTTTTTCATTCTTTTTGAAGTTAAATGCTGTCTCTCCTGCCTGAATGTCCATTAGCCACCAAGCCTAATGACGGCCATATAAATGTGGAAAAACTATTATTGTCCTTCTGTGCCTGGCTGTTGTGCCCAAGCATTCAGGAAGGTGGAGGGTGGGATGGCAGTGTGCAGATTGCAGTTTGCTCCTTGGCTCTCTGTCCCTGCAGACCCACCAGACACAGCTGAAAGCTGCCAAGCCCAGCACAAACGATGGTGCACATCCAAGCACATCCAGTGCCTCAGTGTCATTATAGCTAACTGATGCTTTGACTCTGGGCTATGTGAGGACTGTGGGCCCTTCCCTTGTATTCACTAGGAAAATAGCTGTGGTGGTTTAAATTGCTTCTCCCCCAGCTGCCAAGTGCCGTTTGAGAAAAGTGAAAAAGCCAAGTCCTCAGGAGATTGCAGTACAAGCCCACCCTTCTTTGCTGCAAGGGACTGTGGTGCCAACACACAGTCCTACAGCTGCCTCTTTGATGGCTGGGCAAGACAGAAGGACATGATTTGCCAGCAGTCAGCAACAGCCAAAAATATGCCTCCAGGCACACACAGCCAGGCTCTCTGAACCTCCCAGTATGAACAGCACAGGCAACCCTTGTCCATGGCTACTCCCCCATGCTGTTACACTAATGGAGACTTGTCTTTGGGCAGGTCTCCTGCAAAACTGGAGACCAGTTTCCAAGTTTATTTAGGAGACCAAAGGATGAAGAAGGACTGAAATTGTGAGAAATTTCCCAAGTGCTAAAAACACATCGTGCTCGTTTTGTGGTGCCAAACTTCCAGCTGCACAGTACAAGTGGCAACAAAGCAGCCTGTGAAAGCCATTGGTCCAGGATTCAAAAATTTCTAAGACGCCATTGATTTCACTTCTCTTTTGTACTTGCTATTTGGGACCAAAGTCCATGTTTCTGGTCATCTGAAACTCATTGCATTTGCAAGTGGATACACCTTAGCTGTGGGCCTCAGCTGCAGAGCCCTCCTTTTACTGGCCCACAGCACACTGAATTTGTGTTTGATAAGAAGTTTTTAGCCTTTGAAGACCTACTTAGTAAAGCCAGTGGAAGAGAACTCATTATGAAATTAATACTGAGCGCCTCTGAGCATATCAAATCATAGCTGTGGTCATCTCACAAAGGTTTTCAAGACACAAGTCTTCACAGCAATACTTTGCAAATGCCATCTTTATGGGATCAGAGAGCATTTCTTATTCATCTCCCTGTGCTTTCATTTTGCTGGACACCTCCTCTGTGCCTTCCCATTTACTGACACGACCACCAACAGTGCAAAAGATCATCTCTTCCCCGTTCTATAAATCTCAGTACACCATTAATCACAGAATCATGGAATGGTCTGGGTTGGAAGGGACCTGAAAACTTATCTTGTTCCAACCCCCCCCCTGTCATGGACAGGGACATCTTCCACTAAACCAGGTTGCTCAGAGACACATCCAGGCTGGCCTAGAGCACTGCCAGGTATAGGCATCCACAGCTTCTCTGGGCTACTTGTGTCAGTTCTGGATATTTTGTTTTTCTGCATGGCTGTAAGAAAGTAAAGAGAAAAGGAATGGAATTTTTTTTACTTTTGATTACTAGGTAGCAGGCTACATTTCCTAAAAAGTTCAAATCGAAGCAAAAATTGGCAAGACTGGATTTCAGCTGCCTGTTTTAATCCCTGATTCTGTGAAGACTGGGAATGCTTAGAGTTTATGGCACCAGCTGTGGGTTTCACATGGCCCATCTCCAGTGTATGTTGGACCCAACTCCTCTGCACCAGATGAATTTGCTCTAGAGCTGTTATGCCCAAATACTGCCACAGTAGCTGACAATGAAGTAAGGACCAGACTGAATTATAGCCGTTCCTTATAATATTTGTTTTGTAGAGAAGGACTGTAGTGTGCTGCTTAGGGTAAGTATCTCCGCCTTGCTTTACGCCTTTCCTTCTCTCCTCTGACACGTTGGCAATTTACAATCATCCAAAGACTTTTTGACTGGTTTTCAATGTTTGAATTCTAAAACCATTTAACTCTTTTGTATACTCACCTGCAAGTGGGAATGGGTTGCGAATTTGGGGGGTTTTTTTGGCTTGTAAGTAAAAAATGAGATTCCAGAAGAACTTTGGTGGACTAAGGCAATCAATGGCTATATTTCCTGCCAGTATGGGAAAGAGTACAGGGATTTTTGTTGCTCACCCCTGATTCTCTCCATGAGCAGCATGGAAGGGTCCATCGTGCGCCTGCCAGAGATAGTCTCCCTGAAGAACAAATACAAAGCATACCTCTACTTGGATGAAGCTCACAGCATTGGTGCAGTGGGAGCAACGGGCCGAGGAGTTGTGGAATACTTCGGGATGAGTCCCAATGATGTTGATGTATTAATGGGAACGTTCACAAAGAGCTTTGGTGCAGCTGGAGGATACATAGCTGGCAAAAAGGTAGGAGGAAATCATAAACAATTTCACATCAAGAGCATGCAAACTGCTTTTGTATGATGTATGATATTTTTCAGTATCTTTTTGAACAGACTGCTTAATGCAAGCACTGTTCTAAAGTTAGCATCATTTTTGCTTGGATCCCAAATGTACATCAAACAGTCAGACTTTCTTATTTTTGTCTCATGTTCATATTATGTAATTTGCTTGAGTTGGATTATTCTGTGCCACTCTGATGATTGTTGTTTGTCTTGGAAATGTTTGGACATGTTGTGGTTGGCTAATATACTTCCCTACATTAATTTGCATGCGGATTGCTCATTACTTTGTTTCACATTTGTAAACAGTATGTGAAGCAATATTGAGAGATTGAAACCACAGTTTCATCCACTGATAATAAAATTCCTAAAGAGTTGTGAATTGACATAGTTGCATTTTTTAGGAGAATGGAGAAAGAGGTTATGGGGGCCTTTTGCAATAGTAAATTCTGTGTCCTCAGTTGCTCCGCATACATTAACAAAACAATCTCTTGCCAACAACAGATGTCAACAAAAAGTAGAGCTGAGCTTGCTTTAACTGGGGGTCTAGAAGAGAAAGCATAATCAGCACCATTGTGAAATGTCATTGGTTTTGTTGCTTGACAGAGAGATCAAATGGCTGCTGATTATTTTCTCTTTTCATACCCAGCTGAATGTGTTTTTTAAGCAGTCTGCTGAATGAGTGGGAAGCCTGTTTATTCAGCCCATATGGTTGTTGTCAGGATAACATTAATAAGGATAGCCCTACAGTAGAATAAAAGGGCTTTAAGAAAGTATGAACTGTGTATTTCTTACTGTCTTTTTTGGGTTTGCCGCTGGAGATCTTAAAACCAAGTGTCATAATAGATCGAGAATCAATTTTCTTTGTTTCCTTGGCTTCCTGAATTTGTATCTGTACATTTATGTCTTACCAAAAATAAGATGGGTTATGTAGCTAGAAAGTATAGAAAGATTAGACCTATGAAAAGCAAAGTCCCATGTAATTTATCCTCTAATCCTTGGGAGGTTTTTTTGAGTGAAAACAGGTCACTCTTTTCACGCCTATGTGTATCACTAAGTATTGCCTTAGGCTTCTCAGCCTTGGAAGGCTGGTCACCCATTCACCCACTTATGTTCCTTTCTGTAGGTAAAAACTCACAGTGGTGCTGTTTATTCTGCATCAGCTGGAGCCCAGAAGCCTTCTTAGCTTTTAACCAAACCCTTAGGAATACAGTATGGCCATGCACATCCTGTGTAAGGTTAGGTAAATCTTTATCCTCAGCACTGGAGTTACTGCGTAGACTCATACAGCATTTTGGTAGTGATTTGTGTTACTCTCACTGGATTTTCTTTTCTGATTTTATTTTTTTATCAAAGTCAATTTTCAAGTAGGCCTCATCCCTTTCTCACTAACACACACTCAACTTTCATTGTGGTAACTGTTACTCTGATATTTTGCAGTAGGAGATATTTATAACAATCATGATCTTAGTAAGATCAGAATTCCTACTGCATGCCTGAATTCAGGAGAGTTACTGGTGTTTTAGACATGCCTACAGTATATCAATGGTTTTTCTAAGAGGACAGATTGTGTTCTTAGGAAATGTTAAAGCAATTATACCAAGTCTGACATGACTGTACCTGCCACACTGATTGAAAGTTTTGATTGAAAATTTATGTGCTTATAGACAAAGATAGATCTCAGTGAGGTTGCTTTTCCTGGGCTAAGTCATGTGGCAGAGAACCTATACTGATGTCATATAGCCTTTGTTTCATTACCAGAGGGGAACTGAGCAGCATTATTTTAAGAGCAGCTGTTCATTGGTCTTGAAATTATTTTGGCTCCTTTATAATAAGTCTGAGCACAGAAGTAAATATTATTCTATTCCAGACTTTTGTTTCAGCTGTAATTGTCCCACTTATATGATAAAGCATTTGGACCTGCCTGATGTTTCTTCAGGCCATGTATTAACAGTGGCAGTCAAGAATGCAATCCAGTAGCTGGTGAAATGTCCTCCTCCTTCTGCACATTCCCACTCCTGCAGTAGTTAAGAGGGAGATCTGCTGTTTGGCCAGCTCAAAGCTCATTCATGCTCTGTTTTGCTTGTGTAAGGACCTTGTGGACTTTTTACGAACTCATTCTCATAGTGCTGTGTACGCCACATCCATGTGTCCCCCCGTAGCAGAGCAAATCATCAGGGCAATGAAATGTCTCATGGGACTGGATGGGACAACACAAGGTAAGCCCCCTTCCCTTCCCTTCCCTTCCCTTCCCTTCCCTTCCCTTCCCTTCCCTTCCCTTCCCTTCCCTTCCCTTCCCTTCCCTTCCCTTCCCTTCCCTTCCCTTCCCTTCACTTCCCTTCCCTTCCCAGCAAAACATCATCCATCAGCCAAGTATTGCAATAGCAGTGCAAAAGAAATCCTTCTTATTGTAAAATTAATACTTAAACCTTCATATTCTAAGTACTGTGAACCCTGAGGTTTTTTCCATACTCATCCACATGCAGCAGGGATGGAAATATTTTGGACTTCTGGTTGTGTAGTTGCCAGCCCATCCTGCTTTACAGGAAAAAATTGAGATACATATATTTCCCTTGGAGTACATTGTCTGACTTTGTAGTGGGTTTCATAAGGATATGACTTCATTTATGGTCTAGGTGCTGTCAGTTTAGCTTCTTTGTAAGTGTAAACCTTCAAAATGGCAAGCAACTCAGGCATGGTGCAGCATTTCAGAACAGGTATTGTATGTTAAATAATAGTATGAGAAGATGATTATAATAATTCCTACCTCACTCAGGCATCAATTATGTTGTCCTGAGCCTAGTTTTGTACTGCAGTTTGTCCCAAAACAATTGACTAGTTGGTGTCCTCATGAAAAATTAGGTGTATTTCTGTTCATCTCTTGAAGTTGCAGATGCAGCTACTGTCCAATCCTCTGTGTGACATCCTTTATCCTCTGTGTGATGTTTTATCATCTGTGTAATGTGTTTTCTATACAACAAGCAACAAAACAACTGTGACATACCTCTCTATTACTGTTTCAAAGCAATGCTGGTATGTTTTCAGTATTCTAGAACTTAAATCCCAACATGGAGAAAAAGTGATTGAATTTGTGTAGTTTTCTTCCAGGAATATGTGAAAGTCATGATATTCTTTAACGTGCAGCTGAAGATACAGATTCTGCACTGAATTGCAATCTTTTTTATACTGGTCCAGCAGTGCTGTTTTCTGTTACAGAATTAATTCTGTATTAGTCCTCCCTGATAGATGTGACTGGGATAAGGTGGGAATGGAAGAGATAAAGGGTAAATGAGAGCAGGTAAGATACTCTGTGCACTGTTCTGTTGCAGTGCCCTAGAGGGCTGCTTTGAGCCATGATAGATACAAGGCTATTAATGAGGCCAGAATTTACAAGACTCAGAGTACAGAAGGAAGGATGGAGAATCCAATCCCAGTGCCAAATTCTGCTGAGTGCAAGGACAAAAAGCAGCAAAACCCCAGCGCAATGATAAAGTGATGCTTTGGTCATTTTCGCAGAGAAGCCAGAGCATAAAAAACTGCTTCCAGCTTGAAATTTGGAAGGTCCTGGTTGCATGTGCTGATGCCTACATGTGTTGGGGATAAGAGACGGTCTCTGACATCCTTCTTGTAGCCTGGGGCAGCGGCAGCGGGTGCAGCTCCTGCCCCGGTGTTGCCGTGAGAGGGCGGTCTGACACTGAGCCTGCCTGGCACTCGCTGCTGATTCAGGCGCTCGCAGATGCTCCGTGTAAAACACGAAACATGCAGAGCATTTCCCGGCCTTCAAAGCCTGTTAAAAATGCTCCTCAGCTAGCGTGATTCTGCATGCAGTTCAGTGCAGGATAACGGGAGAACTGGGTTCAAGATGGAGTATTTTAAGATGTGCGTGTCTGTCTTAGGTCTAAGAGTTTGAAGCATTTTCTCTTCAAGAACCAGTGTTATTTAATGAGACAGTGTTTGGATTTCTGCACAAAATAAGAGCTTATTAAGTCTTCTGCAAATCTGTTATGAAGTAAATTAGTGTTTTTTTAAAAGTTGTCTTGTAATATGAAATGCAAATGAGTAGAAAAACAAATGAATAAATCATATATCACAACTTAGACCATTGCACAAAGGCTAGCAAGCTGGCTGTGATGTGTAAAAATGTTTCTTGTCCTTCTGAGCCAGACTCATTATTTTAGTCTTTTGGGTTTTCTTTCATGTGGGCCTTTCCCTCATTAGGCTGTCTTGTGGACTACAAAAAAACCCCACAAGCAAAACAAAAAATTCTGTGCTGGGCCACACTACATACAATGCATTGCTTTGGCATTGGAGAGAGAAAGGTGGGGGCTTAGAAAGGAGCAAGGAACAGAAAGAAGGGAGAAAACACTGCCTCTCCTTAGACATTTTTCATTCCAAGGAAAATTACTTTGGCAGAGTTCTTTTGGTGCACTGTCATGGAAGGTGGGGAATCCTTGTGAGTCGTTCTTGTGAGAGCATGAGCTGTGGAGCAGAGAAGTTTCAAGTAAACTGAACTTGCTGCAGGGCAGTGTTGGCCATGTGTTCTCTGGAAGCCTCTCTGATCCATAGAAGAAGTTTATTTCTGCAATTTATTTCAAATAACATTCTCTTCCCACCGGAAAATTTGGGGAATCCTTTATAAGGAGAGGTCCACCAAGGGCTTATCTTCCAGAGGTTATTTCTCTAGGGGGTGAGCCTTGCAAAAATCACTGGGAATGTGTTGGAAAATAATGAAATTAGAGTTTGCTAAAAAGTTCCATGTAAATTAGAGGGTGCTTGTTGGAAAGAGGATGAAATTAAGGGAGAAAAAATGTGTTGACCCAGCATGTTCTCACTTCTGAACTTTGTGACTCCTTGGCAGATTAATAGACAACTAAGAGAAGGAAAACTGGCTTGGTCATTTAGGTTACCGCTCAGAAAAATCCATTTTTTTTTAGTTTTCTTTATTTTCCCAGATATAAGAGCTTATAATCTCTTTAATTTCTTGCTGGTTATTCTCCACTAATTTGTGAAGAAGCTGATTTAGAAAAGAGTAGCACAGGTACAATTATATAGTAGGTAATGCCAGAGCCAGAAGTGCAGATACTGCTTGTGTATCCTGATGTGTGTCCAATTGATTCCCTATTTTCCTCTTTTATTTTCAATTAGTAAGAATATGGTTGATTGGAAAATGAATCAAGATAGGCATTTCCAGGATAGCATCTGTTTAGGGGATGCATGACTGCAGGATGTGAATAGATGTTTATGGGCCCAGGGAGTACTGCTTCACCACAAGGAAGGAACAGGTTAGCACCTTCAGAGTAATTCTGTGAAACCTAAACTCTTCAGCTGGAAATTACCCACAGCCAGTGTCTGTTCCACACTGAAAGGTGTAAACATGTGGGTCTATCTCACATCAATATTTGTGATAGTTGTGGGACGTCAATATCGTGATAATGTCACTGGGAGGATATTACAGAGCCCACAGCCAGCTCTTACAGTTTCATTTATTTTGCCATATTTTCTGTGGTGACTCAAGAAAATGAAGAATGAGAAATGCTAGCTTAGGAGAAGGTAGTAGCTTCCTCAAAACTGATACACAGCATTGTTCCTGCCTAGGAAGGAGGAACAGGTTGAGGTCAATATTACTATTATTTCTTGAGCAAGTTGCTCAAGAAGAAATTGAAACGAAATATCTGAAACTGATTGCAAAATATGCAAATGGGAAATCAAATTTTTAGTGGAGTAAAAGTCCTGTTTTTCTCAGTGCCATGTTTTACAGAACTCTGAAAATCGATGTCTCGTAGAACAAAACACATTTGTTCTTAGTGCCATAACATCATAGACACTTTCATAGTTCCTCTAATAGAGTTGTTCAAAAGTGTATGAACTTCTGGCAGCTGTATTTTCTCTTGTAATGTCATAAGGCAGCAAGTTTTGCAGTTCAGCTCATGTAGTCTATTAAAAAAAAAAAAGAAATAATTTTATCCCTCTTAAGACTTTGTGGCCTTTTCATCTCAAATGTGTCTCTGCTCATTTATTAGGAAATATGGGAAGCAGAAGTTCCCATGGCATTTACTCTTTATAATTCATAATATAGACATTCTTTATGTGTTTTCCTCGTGGCTTTCTCATTACACCACTGGAGATACTTCAGGAAACTCAACAGCTGCCTTAGTGGTTTTATCCCATGATGACACTGGAGTTGACTCAGAGTGTTTGGACCCCGCACAAATTTGCAAGTACTCTTACTTGCATGCAACACAGCCCCTCCAGCTGTGCCCTCAGACCTTTTCTTCCTCCCCACTTTCTGCATGAGAATGCTGAAAGCATATTTTTACACTTAAATTTGATAGGGATAAAATAGAGCCACCAGGCAGATGGAGTTAAAACTGCTGGGAAGCCCAAAGCAATTTTTTTGATGACTAATAATAGATTATACGGGTGTAAAAAACAAATCACAGCATTTGTAAAGGAAACATTTTTTTCTGTTTAATGCATGGCAAACAATAATTCACCAACAGAAGTGGGCACTTTTTATGTTTTTATGGGATGCTGAAACATTTAAAAGCTTCTCCTCAGGAATCTACAAGTAAAATATGTTTTGTTAAAAGATAATTCCTGAAGTTGTTTAGATTGTGTTTCTTTAAAATGTTCATTTACTTTACCATTTGTTCTGATTGGTTTATCTTTTTGAAACTACTTGTTTTCATTTGTGTTTTTAGCATTTGAGCTTGTTCAGACTGTGAGAAATGGCAGAATGCTGCTTTCTGTTTTGGTTTGGCATTAAAGAAATTGTTTTTAAAAGTTTCCTTTTAAAGATATTTTCAGCAGTCTCAGATTTTTTGTATAACTGGACCAGCTCCTTAGAATCAGTTTCCATCTTCCTCTGCTATCTGTTCTCAATAGTCTTTTGAAAACATTAGTTTTGCTCTGTCAGGATGCTCTATAAATTCAGAAACCTTAGTTCCACATCACTATGGCCTGACATAAACCAACACTGGTGCAAGGAAGTGCAGCCTTATCCTCAATTTCTTCTCCCCCTGTCTATCCCCTTTCTTGTGCCCCTTCTCCCTGTGCCAGTGTGAGTGCTCATGCAGCCATGCAATGAACTGAATCAGAGCATTGATGTAGCTGAAAAATAACCAGCCCTCCCACAAAATGGTTAGCCCACACCCAAACTGGTTCCCAGAGCCAATCTGCCACATGGCTCCACGAGTGCCCCTATCAGGACTTGAGCAGC